TTAATTAAAAATAATTGAAATAAAATTATTTTATTTTATTTTTTGTTTAGAAAAATTAAAAAAATTAAATATGTAAAGCAAATCTATTGCAATCCTCTTGATTTAGAGGAATAAAAAACAAAAGAGTTGACGGGATTTCATCTCCCTCCATCTCCATTAATTAGTAACTCAAACACAAGATGAAGTCATCTCCCCTCATTCTCCTTCCCTTCCCTTCTAATTTTCCCAATCCAAAAACACTGTTAAGGAAATTGAATTTACAGCTTAATCTTCATTATTGTGAATATAAAATTCTCCAGTAATTACTAGCAATTGTATATTGTAATTAATATGTATATTTTTTTTTTATCTTAGATCCTATTCTAGTCTCAATAGAATTTCCTTGTAGAGTAGGACAACGTAGAACCTCAACTTGCATATATAGAGAATATATATATATTAGGCACCATAGAAAATATATATATTAGTGACGACTATATAAACATATTAGGCACCATAGAAAATATAGAGAGTAAAGAACACAATTTACGAAGAAAACTTACGAAGGGAAATACCACAAGACAAAAACTACAACAAAATCTAGTATTAAAATGAATAGTACAATGATTGTCTATCAAATTTTTTCCAAACATAAAACATAAAAAAAAATGAGAACACCAATAAAAAAATACAGTTCTCATTTAAGATACATTGTACAATAATTCTCTGAATGATCAAAATACCTTAACAACACACCAAAGGTAACCTCTTACATAAATAGCTTCCAATATGGCAGTGCATATAATAGAGGAAGGCAAGGTATTATGTATAGATAGATGGTCACTTAGTGTTGAGAATCAATTTTTTTTAATGTTAAGTTGTGGCATTTTACTTTTATAATGTTGTTTGCTTCTCTCGATCAGCAAAATAATACTTTATTACTAAAAATAAAAGATATTAGGTACCTATTTACAAATAGTTTTAATTCTTTAATTTCTAAAAGAAGGTTTATTATGAGGTAGTAGTTGTTTGTTGATGAAAAGTCTCTCTAATGAGGTTTTGGATCAACAAGATAAAGAAAAAATTTTGCCATTTAACAAAATATGACTCAAGATAGAACCTTTACCAATTCCAAAACCCAAAAAAAATGAAAACTAAACCTTTTATTCTAATATTTCCCATTTGTCTTTGATGATTTATTTTTGAAGGAGTTGCTGTTGATGATAAAAAAACACAAATATATTATTTCATATGAAGCATTATGATTCATCATCACCAACAATTAATAATGACATTTTACGCTGGCCACAAACAGTTTTGAAAGCAGCCCCAATTTTTTCCGAGTCTTCACCTTTTCGTCCAGGAATTTTCTCTACTCTTTAATCCTTTTCCTCACCTTCTCCCTTTCAATCATTTTACCTTTTCCTTTTATAAAATGTAGCAAATTTTATTGATCTACGCAGCTTAGAAGAAATAGCTTACTACTGTCAGGCGCAACTCAAAAAGCAGCAACTTGTTTCTTTTTTTGTTATTTGGACAATGGGGAATGAAATCTTCTTCAGAATCTGATCTGGAACAATTCTTATGAAGCCTTGTGTTTCTTTCTTGCCAAATATGATGAGTTGACGCATCCCAATCATGCTTAACATGAGCATTATAGACTTACTTTCTCTTTCAGTTTCCTGCAAAACCATGATAACAAATTTACCCACAAAGCAAAGCATGGTATACATGCCTTGTGAGAAATGTCTTTGCCAAACTCTGCTTGTCTAGCTACAGTAAAAAAGATAAGAGAAGTGATCCTGGACTTTATATATCACCATTGCACAGTGAACAAGTGTCATCCGATTGAGGGGACTATGGGTATGGTATTTGAAAACCATAACAGCATTGACCATTCTACCTTTATAAATGATTCCAGGTGTGTCTTACTTTAAAAGAACCAGCAGCTGATGCTAGCCCAAGAACAGAATCTGATTGGTCCTGGTTTGGATTTAATGTGTCACAAAGGGCAATCAAATTTTGATGTTTCCATTTCGACCACTGCAGATCCCTTTTTCAAGTCAAACAATAATAAATTAAAGTAGAGATCTCAGAGGTAGCCAATCAAATCTCAAATACTACGGAAAATTAGATAGAAGAGAATACAAAATTTATGTGAAAACCCTCTAATGTCATCCAATAGAGAATTTGAAAACCATGACAGCATTGACCATTCTTCCTCTATAAATGGTTCCAAGCGTGTCTTACTTTAAAAGAACTCGCAGGATGCAAGCCCAAGAACAGAATCTAATTGATCCTGCATTGGATTTTGTCACAAAGGGCAATCTACTTTGATGTTTCAATTTAGACCAGTTCAGACAGCTTCAAGCCAAATAATAATAAATTAAAGTAGAGATCTCAAAGATAGTTAAATAAATGTTAGACACCACAAAATTTAAATAAAAGAGAGTACAAAAGTTTCGTGAAAACCCTCTAATATAAAGGGAAAAACCATCGGACAAAATTTTTTTAAAAAAATTCACTATTAAAATCAATATTATAACAACTGTTTCTCAAGTTCTTGCCAACCTAAAATATAAAGCAATTAAAAAAAAAAAAAAAAAACCTCTACAAGCACCCTTTTGTGTTTCTTTTGCTTTTCTTTTGTTTACGTAACACCTCACATGGTGAAGACTGAAAGTGAAAACAACGGACATTCCCATCTGCTCTCCATCTCCCCAAAATTAAAATAAAAAAAACGAATGGTAAATTAGTCCTTTTACTAATTTAATACTCTCCACATCTGACCCTAAATTTGTCATTTTTCTCAAATAGACTCTACACCAGATTCCAATCCTTCAAATTAGTCTTTCAATGATTTATTTTTGTAGCAGTTGCCGATGAGATCTAAAATATTTTATATAAATGCATTATGATTCAGCACCAACAATGACATTTTACCTGCCACAACTTTCATTCTTCTTTCCCTTTTCTTTCGAGATATTTCTCTGCTCTTTAACCCTTCCTCACCTGCTCCCTCTAACCAGAGTTAAAAAATGGAAACAAAAAAGACTCATTACCAACATTACATAATAAACAAGTGTGTCTAATTTAGGGGATCATCCCTTCTTTCCTTTGTAGAGAGCCTTTCTAGTATTGAAAGCCAAGCCATAAAACTGTGCTTGGCTATGGAATTTGAAAACCATAGCAACCTTGATTGTTCTACCTTACTCTGTCTTTCCAAGAATGGTTCCAAGTGTGACTGTTTTAAAGAATCAATAGAGGATGCTAACCAAATAATGTAATTTGATTGCTCGTTGTTTGGATATAATGCACTACAAAGGGCAAATTCCAAAATTTAAGAAGCTCTAGCAACTTAACCAGCACCCACCTCCAGAAATTCCCCTTAATTACTTGTGAGAGCTTAGATTAAAAAGGTTGAGCTTCAACAACAACAATCTTAGTACTTATGGATCCAATAGAATGCCATCAGGGTTCCAGTACTCATGCCACAAATATGTCTTTGTCATTCCCACAATGTTCTTGATGAGCAATTAATCAGGACTTATTTACTAACTCTGAGGATTATTTTTCCAACATTCCTTCCTGGTTCTAGATTTTGGATCACTCAAGACCCTGCGTCCTGGTGCATATTGTCTTTATAGTGTCGATTGGCTTCTATAGAACGCAAAACATTTGAGTATCAACGACAGTGCCCATTAACATTTGTTTAGATAAAAATTAATAAAGGGAAGAGAAGGAAGGAGTAAGGAAAGAAAGGAGAAGTGATGGAAAGAAAATGATCGATATTAATTTTGTTTGAATAAACAAAAGAAGAGGGGAGAAAAAGATAATATTTTTATTTAATTAAATAATTTTTAAAAAATAAAATAAAGTAGAATAAAAT